AACAGTGACGTCTACATTGGCTCAGGCATGTCGTGACAATGGCTGATGGTCGGATTCCAAAGGATCTCCGGTATGGAGAATTAGTGCAGGGAAATCGCCCCAGAGGGAGACCACAGCTGCGATACAAGGACATCTGCAAGCGGGATCTGAAGGCCTTGGGAATGGACCTCAACAGATGGGAAACCCTGACATCTGAGCGTTCAGCCTGGAGGCAGGCATTGCATCACGGCCTCTCCCAATTTGAAGAGACCCTTGCCCAGCAGGCTGAGGCAAAGAGGCAGTCACAAAAGCAGCAAAACCAGGGAGCTGGACAGGGGACAGATTGGATTTGTCTTCAGTGTGGAAGGAAATGTCACTCCCAAATTGGTTTTATCAGACACACTGGACGCTGTTCCATGTCTTCTGTTCAGAGTATGTTACCATAGTCTTGCAAGACTGAAGGATGCCTAATCTCGAATAAGAACATAAACAGAGCCCTGCTAGATCAGGCCAAGGGCCCATCTAGTCCAGCTCCCTGTATTTCACAGCGGCCCCACCAGATCCCTCTGGGAGTAACGCGAGACCACTAGAGACCTGTCTCCTGATCCCCTTCCCCTGGGTCAGGCATTTGGAGGTCCCTTCCTTCTCTAAACCTGGAGATTGTACATCCCCATCATGGCGTGTAACCTCCAATGGACTTTTCCTCCAGGAATTTGTCCAGTCCCCTTTTAAAGGCATCTAGGCCAGATGCCATCACCACATATTGTGGCAAGGAGTTCCACAGACTAATGACACGCTGGGTAAAGAAAGTCTTTTATGTGTGTTCTCACTCTCCCAACACTCAATTGGAGTGGATGTCCCCTGGTTCTAATATTGTGGGAAAAGAGCGTTCCTCTATCCATTTTATCCACCCCCTGCATAATTTTAGACATCTCAGTTATGTCCCACCTCAGGTGCCTTTTCTCTAGACTGAAGAGCCCCAAACGCTGTCGCCTTTCCTCATAAGGGAGGTGCCCCAGCCCAGTCAACATTTTAGTCACTCTCTTCTGCACCTTTTCCAGTTCCACAATGTCTTTTTTGAGGTGCGGCGACCAAAACTGTATGCAATACTCCAGGTGCAACCTTACCAGCGTTTTGTACAAAGGCATTATAATGTTGGCTGTTTCATTCTCAATCCCTTTGTTAACGATTGCTGGGTTTTTAAAAGCTTTCCAAATAGGTTTTTTCTTCCGGCCTGTGCTAAGTTTATATATGCTGGTGATGATTTTAAATTAATGGTTGAAACTGTCCATTGTCCTGTCGCTAAATTTAATTCAAAATCTTTTTTTGAAGCAGCTCTGTAAGGGTTACTTACTCCCCGAAATTCCTTTCAAAGGGCATTTTAAGAGTTATGTCTAAATTAAGTTTTTCAGAATTTATGCCATTTTCTTATCAATGTAAAGTGCCAAGGTAAGTAAAATAGTTGTAAGTAGCTTTTCGGTTTTGACTTATTGGAATTTACCATCAGAAGGAAACCCTCAGTATCATCACTCTATAATTTTCTGGCCTGTTGGTAGCCAGAAAATTACGCCAATCAACCCAATGTCTTAATAACACAGAGCAGTAATGGCAAGCTAGGTGTTGCAAATGCAGGGTTCTGGCTCTATGGGGGGCAAGCTAGGTGCTGCAAATGCAGGGTTCTGGCTCTATGGGGGACAAAAATGGAACATCGGTTCTGTCATTAGGCACAGTGGAGCTGTTGCTTTGGGTAGCAGATGATACATGATGCAGAAGAGGGAGCTGCAGTGTGTTCTCCCCAGCTATTCTCTTGTGGTGGAGACAGAGGGCTGTGTGCCACCTGGCATCTCGTCCCTACCTCACCAGCTCTAAGCTAGATTTCTGTCTTCATGAAGGGTGGAGGATGCTGTTTCATCAGCACTGCTTAACTAAGATTCATCTGTCAGTCTATGTGGGTTTCATATACAGAACTGAGAGATCCATCTTGTCTTTTAGCACTCACTGTCTTAGCAAATGTCTCAAGACTAGCATCAGGTGATAGCCTTGGTTTCATACCAGTCTTGTGAACTTCCCCTGAAGGAACTTCAGTTTGCCTCAACAAGGCACGCAATTTGTAGGAGTTTATTTTCTGTTCACTTTCCCAAGTCTTTTTTCTTTGGCCCTTGAAGATCTGGAACGTATGTGTTGTGACCCTCACTGTGAAAAGTTTGGAGACCCCTGCTCTATATACATCACAGTTATTCAAAACACTATTCAACAGACTTCCAAATCTACAGATCAGTGCTTCCCAACCTTGGGACCCCTGATGTTCATGGACTACAACTCCCAGAAATCCTGACCTGCACAGCTAGTGGTGAAGGCTTCTGGGAGTTTTAGTCCAAAAACATCCAGAAGACCCACGGTTGGGAATCACTGCTACAGATCATCAGACGCAAGAATCTTGTTCCATTCCCAATAAGGTCCAGTCCACATAGTAATGACAACAAAACCACAGAAATGTTTATTTTTTATTTTTTTTAGAAAAAAATAATGGAAAAGAAACTAGCTAAGAGTCCAGGAGATCAAAGTCAATACCACTTTGAAGGGGGGAAAATCCTCATACCCTATTGTCACTTCTAGGACTATTTCCAAGACTGTATGGGATTCTGCGTAGGTGGGCATTTTGATGGTAAAGACTGCAGTAATCCAGAGGATTTGAGCTTCCTTATTTTCACACAGACAAGCAAATTTCTAGCCCTTAAAGCTGTGATGGAAAATGCTTGAAGATTATGCGCAATTTCTGTGCTTATATTGGAAAGCAGAGTGGAATTAATACAGAGATCAGAAAATATTGCTCCTTTGCATGACAACTTTAAGAATATCTCACCTAACATCTCTGAATTAACGGGCCTTTCAAGAGGGCCAGACCTAACAAATGTGAAAAAAAGTCATCTCTGACCCCTGGTTCTCCTTGGAAAAATTAAAAGACCGTATATAATCAGACACAAATGTGTACATTTGGTTGGATGTGCCAGTTCTGCCTGGGCTGCAGAACTCAGCATTTCACAGTTCAGCCCTCTGATTAAAAATAAAATAGCACCATCTTTACATAATTCTTGTAAAAAAAGGGATATAAAAATGACCAGCCTGCTAAAAGACTAGTAGCCTGTATTTCCATGATGGTTGTTAAAACAAAGGAGACTCTTCAACGGTCATCAGAGGAAAAACGACCAAACTCTTAGCACAAGGAATGGGCAGAACACTGGCGGCAGGGGGACCTACCTTTTTTTGGGTTTTGTTCCCCACCCCACCCCACCCCATTGCCTCAGGATCTACCAACTGCAATTTGGTGCCGAAAAATCTATTTAAAATTGAAGAATTCTGAGCCCAAGGATTCTGTTTTGGGTACCTAAACCAAAACGATTACCCAATATTTTCAAGCAAAAATTCATCCTTGGTGTCTCTCCCTTACACATTTTACTTTGCTTCATAAAATCCTGAATTTAATTAAGAAAGCAGCTGCAGAGGCCAAAAAGACAGTCGTCATTATTTTTGCGAAACCACTGGCGGTGAAATTCACTGAAAGTCAACCAGGGATCTACCAGTAACCCCTCACTCATTCCACCCTACCTTCACTGGTCTGAAATTCTTGGTCGCTTACAGCTACCAAGCAGATTGTTAAAACAGACGTCTGGAACATATCATGTTAACAAAATGCTTCTCAAAAGTCTGGCATAGATCATGCTGAAAAATGTTCCACATCATGTTTTGTTTGCTTATTTTATGAACTGCAACCAACATTCTTAAGAAAAGGGCGGAGGCTACTTGGAGGAGACCAGTGAAGCGGTCTCTGAATTCAGATTAATAAGAAAATAAGAAAACAAAACACTGGATGTGGAACATTTTTCAGCATCGTCTATGCCAGACATTGTGCATCTTTGGAGCATACAGAGTGCCTCCTATCTGAAGCCTTATAATACACCACTCTGCATACAACTGCTGGAGATCTGGTGACTTAACACTATTCATAGTTAATCCCTAGCCATGATTACTCAGAGGTAAGCACCAGTGAATTCAGTCGGGCTTACTTTCCCCAAAGCACAACCATAGCAGTTACTGATCAAGCAAGATCTGAACGGGGAATTTTTGCTCAAAGTTTAAGACCAGAGGGTGGCCGGAATTTAGATAAAGGTCTGTGGCAGGCTCAGTAGCTTTGGTAGGACCCAGGACAATTTTTCTGCTCCCAGAAACCTCTGAAGTCTTTGTGGACTGCCAAAAGCACATGGGCACAAACACAAACTCACAATGAATTTAAAAATGGCTGGAAGTCTTCCTGTGGTTATTTGTGGAGGAGGTCAAATGATGCATGGAAGACCCTGCTCCTTATTGTAAAAGTGAATCGCATGGCAAATTAGCATTTATTTATTTTTTGGCTGGGAAAAATGGGACCAGAGGAGAGACAGGGAAGTAAAAACCCAACCTCAAGGGGACACACTCTGCTTGCCTCAATATATAGCAAAGGTAAGAAATATGCAGCCTTCCACGTCATTGTACTGCACCTTCTATCAGCCCTACCCGGTGCAGCTAATGATGATGGAAACTGCAGTCCAACAGTATCCAGAAAGCCGCATGGCCCCCATCTGTGATCCACTATAGATCTCTGGTACAAAAGCAAGCGTTTTTGTCTGATCCTGTTTCCAAGAGTATCTTCTTAGCACTTCCGGAGGGGGGAGACGCCCAGAAGGAAATCCGTATGTTAGAATGTGAAATCATAATGGCCTTAGTAAATTTATACAAAGAGTAGAGTGTAATGGTGTAATGGACAGAGTAATGCACTAGTGCTCAGAAGATCTGGGTTCAATTCCCCTCTTGGCCATAGAAACTTAGAGGGAGTGGTTTTAGAAGAGGTAGTTGTGTTAGTTTGTGCAGGCAGGTCACACAAAAACAAAAGTAAAAAAATACAGAAGACAAAATGTTCTGGGTCCTTTGTACACAAACACACAAATATGGATGGTATGGGTGTACATACTGTATATTATATATCAGTTAGTCTTTAAGGTGTCACAATACTTTTGTCTTCTTTACTTTTTATTTTTCTTTTGATTTTGCCTGTCTTACCAGGAGTGGTACTAGTTAAGCCACTATTTAAATACCTCACATGCCTCAAAAACCCACTAGGGTCACTATATATTGGACCTGATGTGGCAGCACATAACACTCAGAAAGAATGTATTGGTTTCCTTTTCTCACAATTCACTCTGCTTTTGCTACCCAATGGAAAAAGCAAGATCTACACCTGAAGTCCAGTTCTCCAAACACAGAAAACCTACTCACTGTGTTTCTGGGTGAAAAAAATTCCAATAAACACTGCACCTGCCTATCAAGCATATGTTCACAGCCATGAGGACTAGAAACCTCTGTAAAAGTCCTTGAATTGATTATAAAAATAGTCTTAGAAGGTTGACATTCTACACCTGGATGATATAACTGTGGAAAAACAGGATACGCTCAGCTCTGCTGCTCCCCTCTTCGGTTTGCCTTCCTAATCCACCAGATTCCTCTAGATTACTCATTTGGTATTTGGATGAAATTCCACCCCGCAAACCAAAGCTAACAGGCTTCTGAAGTCACACTAGGCAGCAGAGACGCTTTTTGTCCAAATGATTTTGGGGTCTGAATCCTCGGGGGAAATCCACACATTAGATTTAAATTGTGATAACTTCCCTTTCACCACTACAATTCCCCAAACTCTGCAAACCGTATTGGGGGGGCTTCAAGTAAGGATTTCCTGGTGAACCGTTCCCACCTCCTGAAAACCAGGAAGGAAGATCAGAGGTCACAGACTACGGTCCATTCACCTTCCCTGCTGACACTGTGTTGTTTTAAAACAACCTCTTTTTTTGTTTTGTTTTGTTTCTTTGGCTGCTGAGAAAGAATGAGGTCTTTCACCCTTTAGCGGAGGGGGAGGAGGTATTTAGGAGGCCAAGGCATCTCCCCAAACAACCCAAAGGCCACAATCCTACACCCCATCGCTTGGGAGTTGGTGACTTCAACGGGACTTCGCTGTCCAGTAAACACGTGTTAAGACTGGGCTTTAAAAGAGGTAGCGGTTTTTTATCTGGCAATAGGGCATTTGGGGCACAGCAGTGGGAACTGTGAAGGATTATCATCCTCTTCGGACTGCCGAGCTGGAAGGGACTCTACAGATCATCAAGTCCAGCCCCTTATCTGGGAGGCACAGCGGGGAACCAAACTCCCAAACTCCGGCTTTGCAGCCAGAGACCTAAATTCCTGAGCTATCGAGCAGTTCTATAGAGAGAACAGAACCCAAGAATCCAGTGTCCTACCCTCTGATCTGCCAGTCCCTGTTGAGTGACTAGATCCCCTTCATTTCCTGGGTAAATCAGGAACCTTTCTTCCCATGTAACCTATTCTTTTCTAATCCACTAGCCCTACCCCACCCCCAAGCCCCTTCCACAGAATCCGTGAGCTCCACCTCGCTAGTATACTAGACACTAATGCTATTCCCCCAAACTTCGAGGAGTCCTGGCTCGCCACCCCTACGTTCTAACCACTACACCCCATTTCCCTCCCTCAGAGCTCAGGAGCCCCTCCCCCTTCCACTTCCCGCCAAATCCGGCCCTACTACCAACACTTGTTGCCACCAGGTTCTCCTCTTCAGCGTATGAGGACGTTGATCTCGGTCACGCTGGCTTCCATGACGTTCTCGGCCGTCGTCTTGCCGTGCTGTTCCTTGAGGTGGCGCCGGATGGCCGGCTTGTGGGCGAAGCGGACGTCGCAGTAGGAGCAGCGGTACGGCCTCTCGCCGCTGTGGAGGTTCATGTGGTCGTGGAGGGTGGACTTCTGGGTGAAGCACTTCCCGCAGATGGTGCAGGAGTGGGACTTGACGCCGCGGTGGACGTTCATGTGCCGGTTGAGGTTGCTGCTGTGGTTGAACTGCTTGCCGCAGCGGGGGCACATGAAGATGAAATGGTGGGCCCGCATGTGGAAGACCAGCTTCTCCACCCCTTGGAAAACCTCCTCGCACTTGGTGCAGCGAATGATCCTCGAGACGCTCCCTCCTCCGGCGCTGCCGCCTCTTCCCACAGCGGGGAAAGTGGAGAAGGGGCGCCCGCTCAGTCCGGCAAGGACCAGCCCCATCCCACCTCCGCTGCTCTGGCACTCTGCCGCCACCGCGGCCGCTTCGCTGGTCTCCTCCAAGTAGCCTCCGCCCGGAATAATTAAGAGGCCTTCGCCCTCAGCATCCTCAGTGAGGCTGTAGGAGGCCTTCACCACTCCGTGCGGAGGCTTCTCTGGAGTTGATTCTGGAGAAGACCCCATGGCTTCGGCCACTGTAGAGTTGACTTGAGGCTCTTCCTGGTCTCCGGATCCATCCTTGTTCCACCCAGGTGGGGGAGAAGACTCCTTGCCCCACGTGGGCTGAGGAGAACTTTCCTTGTTCCAACTCTGTTGAGGAGACATATCTTTGCTCCAACTGGCTCCTCCTTGCTGGGGCTGCTGCTGTTGTTGTTGCTGCTGCTGCTTCTTTTGACGCTGGGCCACCTCCAGGGCCGATTCTATCTTCACGATGCAGATGTCCGAGACAGCATCCTCATCGCCATAATCATCTTCCTGCTCTTCATCCTCATCCTCCGCTTTCATCTCCAGCTCTTCTTCAAGGGGGAACTCCAGCTTGACAGGCCGTTGTAGAGATCTGAGGGTCACAAAGATACAAACGTGAGCACGCTAGTGGGGAAAATGGCCGACAGTGTCTCCACAAGGTTGCCCTTATGCCACCCCTTCTCAGTTCTGGGGTTCTCCGGGCCAAGTGTGATTTTTATTCTAAAACACCAGAGGGGCAACAAGTTGTGAAAAATCTTTGATTGAAAAATCACTGTTCGGAGCAGGAACAGGGAACTTGTGGCACTCCAGATGTTGTTGGACTACACCTCCCAGTATCCCCAATCCCTGCTCAAGCTGGCTGAGGAGGATGGGAGCGTCAATCCAGCAAAACCTGGGGAGCCTGATTCCCCACTGCAATTCTGGCCGGCTGGCTGCATCTCTTTCAGGTTTCAGAAGGAAGGAAACATTGCAAATATTGTTACCTGGGACTATTTTAGGCACCAGTGTTAGGCTCTCAATGCGAAACCTACAAGCCATTATTCTACCACTGAGCCTCAGGACCGCCTTCCCATTGATGGGTTTAAAATGCATGGACAGCGACAGTGGTCTAGGGCGGGAACGTCTAGGCATCATTCCCCTGTCATCGGTTTCATTGGGGTGAAAGTGGGAAGTGAGAAGACTTGATAGGAAAACACTCAAGAAATTGCCTTGGTCTGGGGAACAGGACCACTTCACACAACAGCTTAAATAAAGCTACAGTACTGATATTTGTCTACTGATAAGTTGGTTTTCTTAGATTTTCTTACTGGCGACTATCTGTTGTCTTCTTAGCAGCTTTCTGCCTTAACATCAGCACCTATTGGTCTTTGATTTTCATATTTAATTGGACACTTCATTATTCCTTTAATTTTAAACTGAAAAGGAAGTGCAGCTCTCCGAAAAAGAAACAAATGCTTGGATTCAGAGACCCACAAAGCTGCCTTTTGCTGTGATGTAATACCTTTCTGCAGAAAGTTGGTAATTGAGGAGCAATATTCTTCAAGAAGAATATGACGAGTAACTTTGTTTGCTTGCATGAGGTCAACTACAAGAAGGAGCTGAGAAGGATCCCAGTTTCATACGCCATACCATCCCTTCTCTCCTCCATTCTTTGACACGCGGGCCACTAGCATACCAGGGAGAACAACATTCTCAAGTCTGCCCTACAGGACTGTATGTGAACACCTTCATATGGGAAAAGTATAGAAGCTTCTGTTTAAAGATATGTGTCTGCAAGCTGATTGATCTAGGCTTTCATGCCAGCACAATAACAAAAAACCCAACACCAAGATACAGTGGTGCCTTGCTTAGCGATGTTTCTGTGACTGGAAGCAGCTGTCGTGAAAAGCAGCCTGTTTGGATCAGATGGCACAGTCCAAGGCACTATCACATAATGGGGCATAAGTAGAGATGGGCATGAACCGCTTGCTTGGTGGTTCATAATGGCTCATTCTTCAGATGCACAGGTGGTCCACAGGGGCCCTGCTTCTCTTCCCTGCCTCCTCCAGCAGGCACCCATTCAGAGGCATGGACATCTGCGTGAGGAGGCACAGTGCAGGAAGGAAGCCAGGGCGCCCGATGATCACCTGTGCATCCAAAGAACAAACCCATTATGAACCGGCAGTTTGTGCCCATTTCTAGGCACAAGCTATCCTCTGTTTCATGCATGCCCGCATTCAAAAACACAGAATTATTGTGTGTACACTTCATATTAAAAAACACTGAATTAGAGAAGAGAAGGAGAAGGTGATTGGAAGCAACTGTCGTGAAAAGCACCCTGTTTGGATCAGATGGCGTAGTCTAAGGCACTATCACATAATGGGGCACAAGCAGAGATGGGCATGAACCGCTTGCTTGGTGGTTCATAATGGCTCATTCTTCAGATGCACAGGTGTTCCACAGGGGCCCTGCTTTCTTTTCCCTGCCTCCTCCAGCAGGCACCCATTCAAGGAGGAGGCATGGCTGAGCAGTCTGAGATACTACCTCTGAGTGAGGAGGCACAGTGCGGGAGGGAAGCCAGGGCGCCCGCTGATCACCTGTGCATCCGAAGAACAAACCCATTACAAACCGGCAGTTTGTGCCCATTTCTAGGCACAAGCTATCCTCTGTTTCATGCATGCCCGCATTCAAAAACGTGACCCAACATGTGACGTAGCCCACAGCATGGGCATGTTAATTCTTTGCACTGCAACTCCCAAAAGCTGGCATGCTTTTTTCAACACCGCCCGTTCCTTACACTGCAGCAGCAGTCACTGAGCCCCTGCAACTAAATTTATAGGTGACAGACCACACATTACATCCTTCTCACGATTACATTCTCAGGGACATTTGGAGGCACTTAACAGAGGCAAATCAGAGCATGTTGAGGCAGAGTTTACAATTTAATCAAACAGGTAAAGTAGGACTAATTTGCACTGAAACAGATACTGTAATATTTTTTTCATCTGCTGTCAGGAGATGGTGCTATTGCCTTGCTTCCTCAGCATTTTTAGATTTTTTTTCCCAACTGCAATTGAACAAGGATTATTATGGAAAAAAAACATTAAATTGCTGGCCTTGGTCGCCTGTGGAAGATAAAGAATCACCTCCAGGCGACTAGGCAAAGACCCTTGACAAATGTTAAGTTGCCTAATGTAGATACATGTTAGTTTCAATGTCAAGAACACAAAAGGACTAGTGACTGTGGGGAACTTATTTGCCAGGATTGTAGGAACACAGACTCTTCCGCAAACCTCTTCCGTGAGTGTTCTTTGTGGGATGAGGTTGAGCAGCCCACTACGCTAGGGGACTTGGACCGACGGTGTCCTCCATATTTTGCCGTTTCTTCCTTGAGGCTGATCTTGGGCTCAATGAACTGGGACAAGGCATTCCGGCATTTCTCCACCACATGCTCCATCTGCAGGTAGCTCGCGGCCGTCAGGTAGTTGACGATGTCCCGGACAGCAAACTCCAAGGCGCCCGTGTAGCACGAGAGGAGGAGATCAGCCACAATCTTGGCGCTGTGCATGAGCGAAACCTGGAGCTCGGAGGAAGGGTTGAGGAGGAACTGGTCCCTCAGGAACGGGGAGCAGGCCGCCAGGATGACCTTGTGGCCCCGGAACTTCAGGCTGTCGGCCACAATGGTGACGTCGCAGAAGCGCTCCTCGGAACGGAGCTGGTTCATATTGCGCAGGGTGGCCGCCTCGTGGCCAGGGAGCTGGAATCGAAGGAGTTCCACGCCAGAGGCCATTCTGAGATGGGGGGAAAGAGCGCAGGAACAAAAAGGGGTGGAGGAGATACGGCTGCAAAAGCAGACAGCAGGAGGGCTCCAGAAAACTGAGGTACTGAAAAAGACAACAAGAAGAAAAGGTAACGCCAGGCAGTGTACGTCAACTCAAGTGGCTATGGCGGAAGGCTAGGTGCCCAGGTCTCAATCCAATTGCTAGTTTCAGCCAGAACAGACCCACTGAACCCATGGGGTGGACTTACCACTGAATCATTGCATCTACTCCAGATGGGACCAGGGACTGGGTTTATTAAAGAATTTCTTTTCTTCATTTTTTTCTGTTCTGATATTTCCAAAACACAACCAAGCCTAGATAATTTTATTCAGCTCAGATCCCCACCTTTTTATGAAGAGCTTTTTCGAGTTTATACGCTGCTGATGGGTTAAAACAGTGCCATGCACACACACACCCCAGCCACCATTATTTCCTGCCTCTCCTTTCCTTCCACATCTCACCTAGTCTCACCTAAGTCCCATGGCTAGCCTGTCTGAACCACTGCCCTCCCACTGGCTTATTCTGAACCTCCCCCAACTAGTTTAAATTGTCAAGTTGTTATTGTTTTTGTAGGCTGTTGAGTCGAAATAGACTAATAGTAACCTTACATGGGCTTTCATGGTAGGTTTTACCAATTCCGCCTCCTCCAGTGAGTTTCCACGGTCAAGCAGGGTTTTGAACCCAGGTTTCCTGAGCCCGTCTATCCACTGCACCACACTGAGTATCCCCTAAACCAGGGGTCCCCAACTTTGCTCCTCCAGATGTTCTTGGACTTCAACTCGTATAGACCAGATGGGCGGGATACAAATCAAATAAATAAATAAATAATAAACTCCCAGAAATCCTGGCCAGCAGAGGTGGTGGTGAAGGCTTCTGGGAGTTGCAGTCCAAAAACACCTGAATAACCCATGGTTAAGAACCACTGCCCTAAACTGCTAAGATTAGACTTCAATCTTATTAAAATGTGCACACATACCACTGAGAAGGAATGGTCAGCAAGAGAAGGTGTGGGAGCTGGAAACAACACCCCCCCCCATATAATGTCTTCCACTCTGTCTTTCACATGGTCTCTCCCTCCTCTGGCCTATCCATAAGAGCAGTGGTCCCCAACCTTGGCTGTCTTCCAATGTCACAAGAAACCATGATTTGCCACAATAGGGTAGGATGTCAAGCTCTTCCTGGATTCACATGATCTCTCCCTCCTCTGGCCTATAAAGGTAAAGGTTCCCCTTGACATTTTCAGTCCAGTCATGTCTGACTTTAGGGGGCGGTCCTCCTCCTGCTTTTCAAGCTGCTTTTCAAGCTTTTTCAAGCCAGCGCTTGTCTGAAGACAGTTTTCCATTGTCATGTGGCCAGCGTGACTAGGGAATGCCGTTTTACCTTCCCACTGAGATGGTACCTATTTATCTACTCACATTTACATGCTTTCGAACTGCTAGGTTGGTGAGGAGCTGGGACAAAGCGATAGGAGCTCCCTCCATTGCGTGAATTCGATCTTACGACTGCTGGTCTTCTGATCCTGCAGCACAGAGGCTTCTGCGGTTTAGCCCACAGTGCCACCACGTCCCTTACAGCCTATCCATACCTGTTCAGCTCAGAAACGAACCCACACGAACCACCGAAGTTGTGGTTTGTGCCCAATCTCTAATCCAATGTGTGCCCAAATCTCTAATCTCAGCCAAATTTCAAGGCTTGGCTGAATCGAGCAAAGCTTCACAAACGGAACTCTGCAGCTGGACTGTGTCATAAAAATCATCATTAAAACCAACCCCAGCTTCTCAGTTTGGACAACGGCAGCTGCCACTGTTACTCAAACATAGAAATAAACACCTCTAATTACCTCCTCACACCTGGATCGGAGGAAAAGCAGGGAAATGCTAAGCGTGCTCCAAAAATAATGATTTCCCAAGCCATAGATAGCTCAGTGGTTCAAGCATCTGGTTGCAGAACCAGAGTCTGGGAGTTCAATTCCCCACTGTGTATCCCAGAAGAGTCAGCCTGTGTGCACAGTCCCAGGATGCCCCCAGAAGACGGGAAAGGCAAACCACTTCTGAGTATTCTCTACCTGGAAAACTCGTCATTCATGTATCATCAGTCAGAATTATATAAAGGCATACAAACAGCCCTAATCCCTCGATTTAGTTGAGTGCCCAAATGTAACAGTCATTTTCCTGTTCTCCCCTTCTAAATCTGTCCACATTCTGCACATTTTTGTGTCACACACAGGTTGTGTTCACAGAGATTTGCATCAGCATCGCACAACTCTCTTGTTGCTGTTGTTTGGCTGTTCACCCCATCTTCCAGTCAACTAACATGGCTGAACTTGTCCATTTCAAAGGTTATACAGGGCATCGCTTTCTGCTACACAGACACCCTGCAACAGACATGCAATGAAGCTCAATTTGCTGCACGGAAAAGTTGGATGGAGAGAATGGCTGTTTAAAAAAAAAAGGACCGGTTGTAAGAAAAAAGTACCATGTGATGACGGAACAGGTGTTCTTTTCAGTAAAGCACACCCACTGGGAAGGTGCATAGACAAAGCCACACACAAAACAATACGATCTCCACCCCTCCTCCTCCTCCTCTTCTCCCAACTCTCTTCTCCCCCCTCCTCTCCCCCGTTCACACGCTCCTTTCTTTCTTGCAAGCCCACAATTCTCTGATCCCTCTTTCCTGCCCCCTTTTTGCCCCCCCAATTTCCCAACCTCTTCTGCCCCCCCCACCCCGACCCTCTTGCTCTCCTGCTCCTCCTCCCGTCCTCACCTTGCACGCTGCTCTCCCCCTCTCTTGGAGGAGAGGGGGTGGCCCCGAATGGCCAAAGAAGGAGGCAAAGCGAGAGAAAGGAATTAAAGGGGCCTCATTAAAGGGCCAGGCGGTCCGGAAAGTGGGGAGCAATATTTGCCCGCCACATAGAAAAAGTCGAGGGAAAAGGTCAATGAAAGAAGGGGTGGGGGCAAGAGGGAGGAAGCGTTTCGCTGCATTGTGGGAAGAACGGCTAATCCCTCGGCGAGTCCTTTAAATCCGCTCTCTCGCTCTTCCCCTTTAAAGGCTGGTGATGTCATAAAAGCGCGCCCAGAAGGCGCAGGAGAAGGGAGGGGTGGGTTTGGGTTCCCCCCCCCAGGCTCCTCCAAATCACCTTGGCAACTAGTGTCCCAACTTCCGAAAAGAGGGTTTTTCGTTTATAAAGAGGGTGGTTTGGGTGGGTGAAATAAAAGTTTGGATTGGGAATTAAAATGTCATACAGCTGAATAGCTTACAAATGTAAGGGGCTAGAATTCAACCGAGGTAGCTTTTCTCCTCTTAAGCCTCAAATAATCGGCTTTTATTGTTTTATACATCTGTTCATCAATTCCCCCCCCCCCACTCACCCCGTTTTGTACACCAGGAAGCCTAGGAAAGAGAAAGTAGGCAAAACGGTCTAATGTGTTATTTCACGGCTTCCTTGCCTCCCCCTTTTTTTGTAAAGAACTGACTTTTCAACTTTTAAATAATATTTATAGTATCACTGGAAGGACACGCACTGACAAAAACACCATCACCAAGTGAAGGTTGGGGGAAAAAAATTAGACCTCGAATAAGGGAAGAAGTTAGGGACCAAGCTTGTGAAATAAGAAAGAAAAAGGGGAAAGAGGATGGGGGGGGGGAGAGAGAGAGAGGTGTGGATCACTTTTATTTGTTGCCTCTGGGATATCTTAAATTTGGTCATATTATTTCAGGTCACTGCCCAAACATTAGTTTAGCTTCAAAGATTATAGACTATCTCAAGAGGTAAAATCTAAGATACACCTCTTTATACTTTATTCAGATGGGAGGAAAAGTGGTTGCTTTATTAGCTGTTCTTGGGTGAAATAAAAGTTTGGATTGGGAATTAAAATGTCATACAGCTGAATAGCTTTCAAATGTAAGGGGCTAGAATTCAACCGAGGTAGCTTTTCTCCTCTTAAGCCTCAAATAATCGGCTTTTATTGTTTTATACATCTGTTCATCAATCCCCCCCCCACTCACCCCGTTTTGTACACCAGGAAGCCTAGGAAAGAGAAAGTAGGCAAAACGGTCTAATGTGTTATTTCACGGCTTCCTTGCCTCCCCCCTTTTTTGTAAAGAACCGACTTTTTATCTTTTAAATAATATT